TCATATAACAACCCTAAAAATGCAATAGATACAAACTTCAATGCAACGATTAATGATCTATTGCAAAAACTAGCAAAAAAGGTGGTGGCTGGTGACTCTCATCATAAGTTTGCAGCATCAAATGAAGAGGACTTGTTTCAACAAGCTATATATGGTCTTGTTCAACGCACACTGGACTTGTCTGAGCAAGATTGTGGTAAATGCTTGAACAAGGCCATCGTGGAACTCAATGATTGTTGTAATTACTAGATTGGTGCAAGGATTATTAAACTTAGCTGCAATGTTAGATACGAGGACTACTTGTTCTATGATAAAGAGGTGGTCAACTCATTGCAACTATCACCTCCTCCTCCATCTGTCCCAGTATCTACCACCAATTTGACAATGTCACCAGGTATGTCTTCAAAACTTAACAAACTTCTCACTCGCTTAAGCACGACTCTTCGTCTAATATCCTTTAATATATTTATGCATCTTGATTTAGTCATATATTTCCTTCAATTTTAGACGGTTTTTCAAATTTTCATTCAATAGTCTTATGGAAGTTTGAAAGGATGTCTTCATCCTGTGTTTTATTTATTTATTTATGCTAAATTTGAGGTTGAAAAACATCCCAATGCAGTTGTATGGTGTGAGTAGCCCAATGGTAAAAAATTCTATAATACCGTTTTCTAACAATATGCAGGTCCCACTTCCACCTTTCTTTCTAATCTCTACCGACACTTTATTTAGAGTGGAAGTAGATTAGAGGGATTTGATCGAATAAGTTTGTACTATAGCATTTCATTTAATTGATAAAGATGAAAAAGATTGAATTGACGTGTGGATAGTTTTGATCATTGATACTTCTAGTCCTTATTATAAAAGTTAGTTGACTAATTTGAATAGACTAACAAAATTAGGTAAGATAGTTATTTGTAATAAATATGTGTTGTTTTACTTACAATACCTTTACTAATCAAATGTCATTTGATTAAACATTTAACATATGCAACTACTACAAGAACTATCTTAAAAAAGGATCAATATGGGAGACAGTGAATTAGAATCTTATATTTAATACCAAATTAAAAATTAAAACTAGTTTTTATATTAAGCACTGACACACTTGTTCATAAATAGGACCATTCAATTCAATTATCATAACCGGTCCTTGACTAGCCATCGGAGCGCCAATGACAGACAGCCACCTAAATTGTGTCGGGAGGTAGGCTTGCTAGCTGTAAGGGTGGTTAGAGTAAAATTTCAATTTACTCATTATGATTGATTTAGAATTTTGTAAGTTCAAGTGATCAATTTTGTAAATGCAACCATCATTTTATTGCAATTTTTCCAATTTTTTTTCTATAAATAACTTACAAGAAAAATATGAGTGGTAGTCTTCTAGGACGGACCCTACCCACTTGTAGCTGCTTCGCTACTCCTTCCCTACTGACCATTAATTCAGCCCCAGGATTGGGCTGGATATCTCATGTGCCACGTTTACCTTTTTTTTTTTTTTAGGTTGCTTCCTGAGCCAACCTATCCACCAAATGAATAGTCTCAAATTTTTATACAGTACATATATATAGACACACATGCCTATTCCCTTCATTTTATATTATAATTAAGATGATTTTTAATGTATAAAATAATGTGTTTCAATTTGTAAGTCTATCGAAGAATTTTTATACGCAACTAATGTTTTTTTGGCCAAAAATGTTCGTCTTTTGCATTTATCATTGGATTTAACCTATATTACCAGTTCTACCAGTGGTGAGCTGAGGATGTTAGCTCATGATGGATGATATATACTATGGTGATAAAAGGATAGTAGTGTGCTGAAGCGAATAATAAATTTAAAACATCTCCTTTAGATTTTATAAATTTTTCAAGCATTGGTCCATGAGTTTTTCTATTCTTTTTTGTTTTTTCGGTAAAATAAAAGCAAGAGTTACTCCTATTACATTGGGAAAAAAAATTCAAAACAAAATAGCTTTAGCAATATTATAACTTCAGATAACGATCCTTTGAAGAACTAATCGATCTCTCTCCTCCATAGTTGAACTTGAAGTTACCCAAGATGAAATCACACCGATTGAGTCATTGCAATTCAACTTTCATACCAACAGACTTGTGACAGATAACTTTTCTATTGAAAACAAGCTTGGAGAAGGAGGATTTGGGCCTGTGTATAAGGTACACTAACAGTTATATATGTGTGTGTGTGTGTGTGTGTATAAAATTATAATAAAAAACTATATTGTCATTTGACTAAGAGGTTTATGTATATCTATCAAAGAAGTAACAGCGTGTCCCAACTTCAATATATGCAGGGTAGACTCTCCAGTGGAAGAGAAATAGCCGTTAAAAAGTTGTCCATGGATTCTAGGCGAGGAGATTTAGAATTTAAGATTGAAGTATCATTGGTGGCCAAGCTTCAACACTGTAATTTAGTGAAATTACTTGGTTTCAGTTTAGATAGAAAAGAAAGGTTACTTGTCTGTGAATTTCTTCCCAATAAGAGTCTTTACTACTTGCTATTTGGTAAGCATTTAATTCTTACTTTAGAGTAATATGAATTATGTTTATATTGAAACTCTAAATGGGCTTGAAATTATTATAGATCCTATCAAACAAACTCATCTGAATTGGGAAACACGGTACAAAATCATAGGCGGTATTGCTCGTGGCATTCTTTATCTTCATGAGGATTCAAGATTACATATTATTTATCGTGATCTCAAAGCAAGTAACATTCTTTTAGATAAAGAGATGAATCCTAAAGTATCAGATTTTGGTATGGCAAAACTCTTCTCCATAAATCAAACCCAAAGCAATACGAGTATAATTGTTGGAACCTAGTAAGTATATTACTGATGACCTCAAAACTAATGATTTGAGATTTAATGATATCTATGTTTGATTAACCTTGTGCATATTAACACGCAGCGGATATATGGCACCAGAATATGCAATGCCCAGACAATCTTCAATCAAATCAGATGTTTTTAGTTTTGGTGTATTAGTTTTAGAGATTGTAAGTGGAAAGAGAAACAATACCAACTTTCATGAGGAGAAAGCCCATGATCTATTAAGCTTTGTAAGTCCTTTTTTTTCACATAATTTATGTCAACCTAGCTCCCTTTGATCTTATATTCTTGCAGAAGTGTACATATTCTGAGATTAAGTATATATGCTGTAATAGCTTGCTAACGTATTGTTTACTATTGATGACAAACTTCTTATAGGCATGGAAAAATTGGAGGGAAGGGACAGCCTCAAGTATAGTAGATTTATTATTAAATGATGGGTCAAGAAAGGAAATGATAAGATACATCCACATTTGGTTTACTCTGCGTTTAAGAAGATATAGTAGATAGGCCTACCATGGCTAACGTTGCACTTATGCTCAGCAGCCACTCACTCTCTCTCCCGTTACCTTCACAACCTGCATTTTTAAAGAATTATAGAGCTTTACTAGAGATGTATTATTCGGGGGAGGCTAGTTCGGGAATAATAAGATCCATTAAACGAGATACTACTAGCTCCTTTCAAGCTTCAAATGGACGAGAATACAACTCTGTTCAAGAATGAAAAGAAATGTGGCCTCAGTTATAATACTAAGCTACAAGTTCGTTTTTCTAATTTTGCCACATTACTTTTGTTCAAGACTTTCTACTCAAGATCCATTGTTCATCTTTGTTATATGTTGTAATTTAGGATTAAGTTGTGTTTAATCCTATTTTATCGTTCGTTGTTGGCTAAACAGAACTCATCAGTGATTCAGTCGCCATTTTCTCACACTTATACGGACATTTCACTTGCATCAAAATCTCTCACCACTCTCCCATTTTATGTCTGCTGGGCTACCATTTGGCAAACATACTAGTCATGAGGTATCTGACTGAATTGTTAACTATGCAGATATATTTGTTGAAGTTAATGCTTCTGTTTACACATAGACACACACACACACACATAAATGTATGTATATATATTGGCTTTTGTTTTTTATATTTTATAGTTTTTAGTCTAAAATATATGGAAATGAAGATTTTAGGTGGCTAGATAAAGTTAATTAAGGGCCAATAAATTAATTAAGCATAGAGAGACAAATGTAACTATATTACTGTAAGCATGTTCTGATATTTTTTTTGTTTTTCAATCCTCTTTTCTTGAATGCTTCACGAACTATGGAAAGGTAATTCATCTGGTAATTCCACAATAAAGGTTGGCTATCGAACCTTATCTACAACCACAGACTCTTCAAATTTCAGTGGGTTTTGGAAATTCCTTTGGTCCATCTCCCGTTCCTTCCAAGCGTCTTTTGTTTATTTGGAAACTACTTAATAGGGCTATTCCTTCCTATGATATCCTCTGCCTTCACCATCTAAACATTTCAGGGAACTATAGCCTTGCTTGTGACCTACCAAAAACCATTGATCATATATTCATAAACTGCCCTTTCACCCAAGCAATTTAGCTTGGAAGCTTATCCATTCAGTTTAATGTCACAGATTTTGACTCCTTTAAAACCTGGTTAGTTAATACACTGCAGAATCTCAATATACGAAGCCACTAACAACTTCATGAGATTATCATTGTTATTAACACAATTTAGAGGTTGAGAAACCAAGTTATTCATGAGTTAGATTCTGAACCCAATTATTTGCCTACGAGAAATAAAAAGATCCTCCTCTCTTATTTCCCTAGCCTTCAGTATAGGGAACAAGGCCAAAACTTCCATGCAAGGAAAGATAGAATTCCATTGGCCTTCATAGCAATCAACTCTGCTACCCAACATAGATACATGGGAAATCATATTTCAAAAGCACAAAAGTCCGAAAGAAAGACAACTTGAAGTGCATGGATCAACCTCAACAACGACTACTTACTTTGTCTCACATGAAAAAGGCCAAGATTAACTCTCCTCACTTTCTATGCAGGTCTAGTTATATGCATGTTCTGAAGTTGAAACAAGGAGAAATGGGCAGGATAAATATTTGCCCCTCGTAAGACAACTTTTGGAAATCCAGTGAGAAACTTCACTTATTTCGTGATAAAAGCTTCTTATATAATACACATACAATCAATATATATTATATCCATCAACATATACCTCCTTGTATAACGCTTTTGACTGGTGTGCACATGCAAGAACAAAAATCTAGCGAGGATATAGCTCCGTAATTGATAGATCATTTTGTGATGATTGATTCGAGTTTCTTCCTTGTTCACTTGCTCTTGTTGCCTCTAAACTGTTATGTCTCAAAGTCATCATCTCAGATGAACTGCTATAATTCACAAGAAATCGACGTTCTGAAGGTACAGGGAGAGAGGAAGAGAAGCTGTTCAGCATAAATGAGACTGAGGCCATAGTTGGTCGATCAGCTGCATTTTCTTGAACGCAGAGCAATGCAATGTGAATGCATCTAATTATATCATTTCTTGAACCATTGCTTATCACGGGATCTACTATATTTAAGGTTGTCCCTTCCTTCCAATTTTTCCATACCTGAAAATGTTGTTCATTTATGGCAAAGAATATTAGTCTTGAGCTACTTTTCCAATTGTATATATGTTAGATGTTATATATATATATAGAGGACATAAACATAATTCTCTACTTTTGAGAGGGAAGAAGCACAGACTTACAAAACTTAATAGGTCCAGATGATGCTGTGTATTCTCTACATGAAAGGTGCAGCTGTTTTTCTTGCCACTTATAATCTCTAGAACCAATACGCCAAAACTATATACATCTGATTTTACTGAACATTGACCGTACAGTACATATTCTGGGGCCATATAACCGCTGCTTATTAAAATGAATAAATTTAGCTCAATATAGTAGTTATTAATAGTCTTGTAGCTTTCAACCAGTGAAGTCATCATTACTTACCGAGTTCCCACAATTCTATTAGTATTGCTCCGAGTTTGATCTGCCTTAAATAGTCTTGCAGTGCCAAAATCTGATATCTTAGGATTTAATTCATCATCCAAGAGAATATTGCTTGCTTTAAGATCACGATGGATAATACGTAATCTTGAATCTTGATGAAGATAAAGCAGACCACGAGCAATGCCCCTTATAATCTTGTACCGTACTATCCAATTCAAAAAAGCTTGCTGATTTGGATCTGCAAAATTTCTTGTTATATTCTTACCAGTTTAATGCTATGATGTGTTAAAACTATACGTGTCTAAAATATGGATTCTCATTCAAACAATAAAAACAAAGTGATAGATATTGAAACTATGTTACTTACCGAATAAAAAGAAATCAAGACTTTTATTAGCAAGAAATTCATAGACAAGTAGTCTTTCTGTTTTTTCTAAACAGAAACCAAGTAATCTTACTAAATTCCGATGATGAAGTTTTGCTACCAACATCACTTCAGTCTTAAATTCTAAATCTCCTTGCCTAGAATGCTTGGACAACATTTTCACAGCAACTTCTTGTCCATCAGGAAGCCGACCCTGCATTTATTTATTAGACCATCCATGAACACGTACACACTCTTTTTTTCTCTTCTTCACTTTCAGCAATATAATAATGCTATGAACTTCCAAGTAACAAATTTATTATACCTTATACACTGGCCCAAATCCTCCTTGTCCAAGTTTATTTGCATCAGAGAAGTTATCAGTTGCGAGGTTGATGGTGTTATAATTGATTTGCAGAATCTCAGCTAGTTTAGTTTCATCATCATCCTTCGTTGTAGCTTCAAGTGAGAAAGAGCAAGTCATGAGTTCTTCAAATAGCATGAAGTACAAAGATTGATTTAAACTCCCCTCACTTTGTTTTGCCAAAAAATCTCAACATAAAAAATGTCTTGTGTTTGTTTTGCCAAAAAGCTTTCATCAATTGAAATTATAGTTAACATTCATAAAGTATTTTTCCTAGCTAAAAGAATAAGAAATTCATTTACACTTACTTTCATGGGTTTTCTTCTTTCTTGTAATCATAAAGAATGCTATGAGAAGGGCAATAATGGCACCAATCAGCACAACCACAACAATGGTAGTTGTTGATTTATTGCTACTTCCTGCAAAATCAAAGTCAAATTTGCAGAGAGAACTCATTGACATTATGTTGCTAGATTATACAAGCAACCTCAAAAACAAAATGACATTTTTTTAATTTCATGATTTTACTTAATAATATATTCACGAGCTAAATTTTATATTCAAAACTTCATCTAAAGAAACTTAAAGTGAATCTTGTGCATTACACAGGGAATTTAATGGGGTTATGAAAAATGTATCATGTTGAAGTTCTGTAATTTATATTTTTGGATGATTTTATGTTCATACTATATTACTAGAATGAGAATGAGTACATTTTTTTGAAGATGTAGGTTTTGGAAAATCAGGAACTCCTAGGATGTCACACAAAAGAAGTTTCATATTTCCTCTTCAAGCTTATCCGATGCAATCACAAGAATTAATAGCAGGTTAAATTTTTCATAGTGAACAACATACACATAAGGCTATGAGTTTTAGAGAGATACCTTGTGGAGAAGTAGTATTTGTTGATGGAGGAAGAGTATAGGGGAGAGTTATTTTTGTTAAATTGACAAGTGTAGGATCATAGAATAAGAAATTCTCAAATCTAATATTACAGCTCAATTTGATGACCCTCCCACTGACCTTGTTCTGACAACATTTTGGGATATTAAAAATAGAATCCTCCAAACAATCAAAGCAATCTTGCCTATTCAAATCAGGGATGCACTGAACAAGGCCATACACAACTTGTGATTGATCAGCTGATGCGTTTGCCGCAGCCACCTTATGATAAGAGTCACCATCGGCAGCCTTGTCTCTTAGAGTTTGCATTAGAACTTCAAGTGCAATGTTGTATTTGCTTGCATCTGCTGCATTAGTATCGCTACTAGTACAGTTGTAAAAGTCATGGTCCTGGTAAATCCCAAACATTTGATGACTTGAGTATCGAAACATGCATAAATCATAGTATCCAAATGCCTCCTTCTGATATGGACATAGCTTTGGGAGAAGGATTTTGGCATTATTGAGGCAATTACGACAAGAATCTGGCTTCACATCTCCTCTGCACATTCCAAGTGCGTTAACTGTGTTGGGGCTTTCACCATAGGAGGAATTGTAGAAGCCATAGTCAATTTTGGTGTCAGAGGTGAAATTAGAAAGAAGGGTATTGAGGTTGGTTTGGTAGGCACTTGGTTTTGTGTAGTTAGCACTTTCATTGGAGCACGTGTAAAAGTAGAAGTCAGGCTGAGCGGTAAGAACAAGAAGATGAGAAATGAGAGAGATTAGAGCCAAGAAAATTGCAGCTGTAGTTGTCATCAAGGAATGAATGAAATCTGACAAATGAGATTTGAGTGTGGAGCTTAGGATGCAGTAATCTAAGCTTCCTAGTACAATAATATCCTCAATATAAAACACAGTACAGTTGACAAGTTTGAAGATAAGATTCCAATATTCCTAGGAATACAAGTTGACAAGTATAAGATAGGAATTTCTAAGAATACAGGTCTTCGAGGGGTTATTTGATTTCTCTATTCACACTGTGGCTTTTCCAAGTGGCCGACCACCATGTGCAGGTTGGGACGTTTTAAAATTCCACATGCGTGATGCTTTTCAGGAACTTAGTCTTTTTAGAATTTGTACTGGGGCCAATTTAGTGTTTTGACTTTTCTTTCATGCTTTTTAGGTAGAAAACCAGATAGAGTTTTCTCTTGTTTTTTTTTAAAGAAAAATGTAGGAGTACTTTTTTGACTGGTTACATATATGGTTGAGACTAAGCTTAAATAGGAACAAGACTTTGGCAAGACTAAAACAGTTGACCAAATTAACGTGAAAGAAACTTCAAATTAAAGAAAGTGACTAATTTCTCAAAGATAATCCTCTTTCACACTTCAAATTAAATAGTTTTTTCCATTCTCTTTCTCAAAGATAGCCTTCTCTGGGTCCTGGGTTGGAGCTCTGCCGTTGGTTCATGGTCTTCTTTAACATTGTTGTCTTTTTTGCCATTACAAGCCTCCCTCCATTGTTGCCTTCTCTTATTTCTAAGTTGGAGCTTAGCACTACTGTGGGTTATGCTTACATGGAGAGAATGTTCATCCTTTTTTTTTTTTTAATGTTTTGTTTCCTTTTCATCATTTTTGGAAATGGATTAATCTTTAGTCCCGTGTGCTTCAATTTCTTAAGATTCTTAACAATGGCTTCCCTAGTTTTCATATGGTACTCATCATTTTAATATAAGCATATTTTTTTAATAATTTTATTTCAATAGAATCATGTTTTGCATAATTATGCAAATTGTCTCCATAGTAATCATTATTCTTTAAAATTGGGAATCTAGAATGTTAATCCTTTATCCTACTTCTTTATTACTCCATATATTGCATGTGATGTGTGAAACAAAATGAAACTGAATTGTAGAAAATTCAGAAAGCAACATTTATTCTGTCACATAAAATCTGTAATTCACACACAAGACCAAGCCTAGACTTTTATAGAGATCTAGCAAATTGTTCACTAATTGAGGCCTCTTTTTTATGCTTGTTGAGCAGAGTTATGTACTCCCTCTCCTTCATCTTCCTCTTTGGTTTGCATCTCAAGCGTGCTGCTAAAATTCATTAAGCATGGAGGTCGTGAAAGTAAAGGGAGAGAGGAATAGTAGCTGTTTAGCATGAGTTCAATAGAAGCCATGGTAGGCCTGTTTGCTACGTTTTCTTGAACACACAGTAACGCGATGTGAATGCATCTCATTATTTCATCCCTTGAACCATTGCTTATCATAGGATCTACTATATTTGAGGCTGTCCCTTCCCTCTAGTTTTTCCACACCTGCAAGAAGTTCCTCATATTATTCCCTAGTTACTTTTACAATTTCATATGGTAGCTAGTTAATTAGACAAAGATGATATTAAATCCAATAATTTGTTAGGTACGGTGTTAATAATTGTAAGTAGTACTTACTAAGTTCCAACAACTTTGCTTGTAGGGTTATGAGTTTGATCTAAAGCAAATAGTCTCGCCATGCCAAAATCTGCTATTTTTGGATTTAGATCTTTATCTAGAAGAATATTACTTGCTTTAAGGTCACGGTGAATAATGCGTAATCTTGAATCTTCATGTAGGTAAAGAATGCCACGAGCAATGCCGACTATAATTTTGTATCACACTTCCCAATGCAAATGAGTTTGTTGAATTGGATCTGTATGGTAAAGGCCAATCCTACGTCTATGATCTCTTAAATCTATCTATGTCTAGAATATCTCTTCCACTTTTACCCAATATGAGTGAAGAATAAAGATAATATATATAAATCAACATCATTCTTAAAGAGGCTACTATCATCACTTACTGAATAACATGTAATCAAGACTTCTGTTAGGAAGAAACTCATAAATGAGTAGCCTTTTAGTTCGTTCTAAACAGAAACCAACTAATCTTACTAAATTGCGATGTTGAAGTTTGGCCATCAATAACACTTCGTTTTTGAATTCTAAGTCTCCTTGCCCTGAATTCATGGACATTATTTTGACAGCAACTTCTTGTCCATTACGGAGCCTACCCTGTATTTATTAGAGTTTGGACATGTAATTAATAGCACGTCAATTGTTCTAGACAATGTGATTTTATTTGTCTTGATCTAACATTGATGTCATTACATGCCTTATATACTGGCCCAAATCCTCCTTGTCCAAGTTTATTTGCAACAGAGAAGTTATTTGTAGCGAGTCTGATGGTTTCAAAGTCAAATTGCCACAAATCAGCGGGTTAATCTCTTCGTCATCCATTATTTCAGCTTCATCTGAGAAAGAATTCAAAGATGAGCCCCTCGAATGCGATCAAACAATAAGTCTATGTGTGTATATACATAGGTTTTGTTGAAAAACTATTTTATTGATGTATTACTTATGTCTAAGTGATATTCATAAATAAAATTAAAGGCCTTTTTAATATATAAATATTATAATTAAATGTTTAATTTACCCAAAATAAGCAAGAAACTCTTTTTTCCCCCTCATATCACTGTCAGTCGTGAGGGACCATAACCAGCTTTTAATTTCCACTCTGTCGCGCATGGGCCTGGTGGGAACTTCAAAAGCAATCAAAGTTTAAAAGCTTTGACTTAAAGATATTGAAGACTATCCTAATATTTAAAACTATTCCAGGGCGGTGAATTGAAAGGTTGACAATGACAAATTACTACATAATAAAAATATTATTTTATGTATCTTCATGTTCTCAAGTCTTAACTTACTTTCAATGGTTTTCTTCGATTTCCTAACTGCAAAATAGATGAAAATCAAGATGAGAAGGGCGATGGAGGCACAAATCATCACGGCCACGATAATAATAATGGTTCTTGATCTATTGTGTTTTCCTGTAAAAGCCGAACATGCTCAAAAGTTGATTGACATGTTTCTTGACCAGATACACGGAGAACCACAACAATAAAATTACTGAAGTCTAGTTTCATAGTTGTGAATAATTTTTGGATAACCTGCAAATAAGAGAACAACGCACATATATCAAACTACATCACTGAGGCAGAAGTAGCTAGGTGCCTTCTCTGGTAGATGGAATGTTAGGTGAAACAGCGGGTCCTGCAATTTGTTACACAAACAATAATAGAATGATTCAATTAGGGACACATGATAAATTTTTACATTATTAATAATCACTCCTCTACTCCTGTTTATATCTCTGGTCCTTAATATAAAACATATTTAAGTAATTTGATTAGATTAAGAAAATTAAATAACTTAATCATAATAAATATGACATGTTTTTTTCAAAACATCCTAATCATCTTCTTTAATGTCTTTCCTTTCTTTCCTACTTGATTATGATTGAGGAAATATTAATAGGGGTGATTTGAAAAAAATTGATCAAGAGGGGTGATTTGAAAAAAATTGATTAATATTAAAAATATGTCTTACATTTAGGATCAACATTAACCTCACAATAAAGTCCAAAATTAAGGATTGGAAGAGTATAAAGCAAAGAAGAAAGTTTTTTTTTAATATGAGTCATGTTATTAGATTTTTGTTATTTGAATGTATAATTATACCCTTTATTTATTTTTTTAATTACTCATGGATATTTTTCTATTAAAGGCAAATCCTATTCGAGACAAGATCGGGCATTAAACATAGACATCTCTCCCAACAATAATTTAAACATTGGTTTGCCATGTCGTGAAGAATTAGCCCTTTTTACTAAACCCAATCATTTATTATTGTATACATTTTGTATTTTTTGGGTTGGGTATATATTAAATAGAGGTAAATTTATAAGGTTATTAAATTTTAATATGTAATCGAGTTAATGAGTATTTAAGTTATTAAATAGAGGTAAGATGTATTAGAAGTAACCTTAAGTAAATTTTCTTTCTTTGCCTTATAATTTAATAAGGTTCTTTCTTTATTTACAAGGCAAAGTAAGAGAAATTACTACCCTAGAAGCATCTCTGCAAACGAATGTTTTTTAATTATCACTTTGAGCAAACCGCATCTCAAAGGTTGGTATGAGTCTAAATTTTTCTGAGTGATTTGCATAGTTAAGGATGAGTTTTGAGAGATACCTTGTGACGGAGTAGTAGTGCAAGAAGGAGGAGGAGATGAAGATACTTGTATTGTATCAACAGCATTAGGATTATAGAACCGGTTCTTCTCAAATCTGAGATTGCAGTTCCGTTTGATAACCCTACCTCCAACCTTGTTTTGACAGCAAAATGGGATATCTGATATCACCTTTTTCAAGCAAGCTTCGCAATTTTGCTCAGTCAAATCAGGCGTGCACTGAGTAAGACCATGTACATATTGAAACGGCATTGAGGCTTTTCCATCAGCCACCTTGCTATTAGGGCCACCAGCTGCAGCTTTGGTATTAAGATCTTGCATTAGCCGATCAAGCGCAAGTGTACACTGGTCTGCATCTGCTACATCACTTGGGTTATTAACTGCGTAGAAAAAATCAGGGTTCTGATATATGCCAAACATTGAGCTACTTGAATATTGAAAGCTGCACGAGTCATGGTATATAAATGCCTCCTTCTGATGTGGACTTTTCTGTGGGAGAAGACTCGTAGCATTATTCAGGCAACTACGACAAGCATCTGGCGTAAGATCTCCTCGGCAGAGTCCAGATGCATAAACTGTGTCGGGGTTTTCATCGTACGAGGAATTTTAGAAGCCATAGTCATCTGCTGTGTTGGAGGTGAGATTGGAAAGAAGGGTTTTGAGGTTGGTATGATAGGCACTTTTGTCTGTGTAGGTTCCTTTCTCATTGAAACAGGTTGAATTAACATAAGGTCGGTCCTGCTGGGCGGTAAGAATGAGAAGATGGCAAAAGAATGGTAGAAGAAACAGAAGAATATTGACAATCAGCGTCATTATTGGGGTAAATTAAAACTGTGATAAATGAAAAGAGTAAAGCTTCTTAAGCAATTAAGATGCGATTTTTGAGTATTATTGATGAGCGATGAAGCAAGGCTTATTAGGACAACAATAACCTCATCATCTCTATAGGACACAAAAGTCAACAAGCAACGACAAGATTCAAATAAGGGATATTGCATTTTGTTCCATATGTTTGGTTATTTTGACACGGCAATTCATCAAATGCCAACAATTAATGTGTCTGTGTTTCCACTTCCACGCGGCCTTGTAGTAAAATTTCGACGCATGCACTGTCGAAACAACATATATAATTTATGTGTTTAACCACCAGAAACACTCTTAAGGAAAATAAATGATATAACGTTGTTTTTCTTCTTGATAAAATGATATAACGTTGTTGAGTACATAATAATCACTCACCCCGCTTACGCTATCATTCAGTGGGCACGTTACTGGTTGGCCTTTTTAATATACTCATACGTGACTAGGAATATATATAAGTCTTGCACTTGTTCGCTCCGTACTCATAAATCTTGCTTTTAGTTTGTTGTCAAATCTATACAGAGTTATGCATATGGCATTTTTTTTAAAGATAATCCCTTCAATTATTTAAATTGGGGATAATTGATGAAGCATATTGAGGTTGGTGTGGTAGGCACATTTGTTTGCATAGGTTCCTTTGTCATTGAAACAGGTGTGATTAAAGAGGTCCGGATGCTGATGGGCGTTGATGAGAATGAGAAGATGAGGCAGGAATAATGAAACCAAAGCACAACGAATGAGAGAAAATTTCATGGTTGTTGAAATTTAGGATTTGCAATTTCCGAATCCTATTTGGTGAATGATATGGGAAGGATTATTCTCAACTTTGTAACCCACTAATCAACAACTCAAGCAATATATATTCATATGTGACTAGGAATAAATACAAGTCTTGCACTAGTTCGCTCACTACTCATAAATCTTGCTTTTAATTTGTTGTTAAATCTATACGGAGTTATGCATATGGCTTCGTTCTTGGGATGAGCATTTTTATGAGGTAAAGAAATGTAATTATTACAAAATACTACGATGTAAGATTTAAAAAATTAATTGAATTAACTATTTGCAAAAAAATGTGCGTTGGTTTTTTTTTTTTTAAGACATCCCTTCAATTATTTAAATTGGAGATAATTGATGAAAAGACTTTCTTAATATGTATAATTAATAGAGATAATTTAAGAAGTTATAAATTCAGAAAATAAAGTAAATATTTTTTTAATTTTAAAATCAAAACAAACCATTTAAATAGTTATATTTCAGAGACAGTACTGTTCAATTTCTCAAAGTCAAAAGTTAAGTCGTCCAAGACAAGAGGCGGGCCCAGCCAGCATGAGGCTATGAAGGAGCATAAATTACATTTTTTAAAAAACAAGACAAATTACAATAAGATTCAAAAAAAGAAAATAGCTATTAGAAAATCTCAGTAATAAGTTTTAAAATTGAAAATAATAACATATTTAATATATTAAGAAATAAAAATTTCTTCTTTTCACACTTATATTCTTCCTTCGTCCTTGTCTATTAATGGGATAGTTGGCACCACAAATTTCTGAAGGAACAAGACCGACTACACGGTCAACACATGTGGTCCCTCTTCTCCCATTAATCAGAGGTGGGCCCCTATGTTTTAATTTTATGTTCTTTTCACACTTATATTCTTCCTTCGTCCTTGCCTCTTAATGGGATATTTGACACCACAAATTTCCGAAGGAACAAGACCGACCACACGGTCAACACATGTGATCCCTCTTCTCCCATTAATCAGAGGCGGGCCCTTATGTTTTAATTTTATGTTCTTTTCACACTTATATTCTTCTTTCGTCCTTGCCTATTAATGGGATAGCTGGCACCACGAATTTCCGAAGGAACAAGACCGACCACACGGTCAACACATGTGATCCCTCTTCTCCCATTAATCAGAGGCGGGCCCCTATGTTCTAATTTTATGTTCAGACTTTAGCCTTTTTTATATTAAAAAAAATCAAAGGCAGACTCGGCAAGATTTACCTGTCGGGTAAAATTTGAAACCAATATTCTAAAAAGTATAATTACAAAAATTTATTATCTTGACTTGACCTAGGAATACATACATGTTGACTTAGGTCTTCATCCAATAGCTTAAGGCAAATAGACCGAAGAGGAAAAAAAAAAGAATTATCATAAGTTTTCAAGAAAATAATTTCATTACTAAAAATTCCAACAATAAATGATTAGTATGAATATGTTGTTATTTTCTATTCTAAAACTTGTCATTATATACTCTTTAATTGTTCATGAACTTGAGGATAATTAAATTCTTTCTTTAGGATCTGATTGTAATCCTCAAAAAAAGAGAGAGAGAGAGAGAGATATAAATGGAGAAAAAAATTGGGAAGGAAATAGGGCCCCCCACTTGTCCTTGCACTCGTTTTCTCTCTCACTTGATAGCATTCAAACTTCATCAGTGCTTAGAATTGACGACTACTTGTCTTAATTGGTCACCAATGAACTTATTGCATAGTGCGGAATATACAAGAGAAGCCAACACATTCTCTCTCCATTTACTTATTGTTGCATAGATTAAGAAGTCTCATCACAATAATGACCACTATAATGCTTGTGATTACAGTGAGATCTGTATTGATTAAATACAATTTCAACCATTTATATTTAAAATTTTAAACTAATAATTTTTAAATAATTTTTTTTAAACAAGGACAATTAAAAGATTAAATGAATTTTTGTAGTTAATTTATTAAATTTCTTTTAAATTATTTTTTTCAATTTCACCTGTACTAAATGAAATTACAAAATAAATCTCAATAATAAGTGACGAGCACGAATGAATATGTTATCGTTTTCTATTCTAGAACTATCATTACATATTCTTTAGTTGTTAATAAACTTTAAAATAATTAATTTTTTTCTTTAAGACCGGTATTCCTTATTTCTATTCAACATATGAATAGTTCTGTGACTTTGTCTAAGGGATTGTTGAATCTTTGCCTTGGAATAAATAGAATAAAATAGATTGATATTAGTGCGATCTGACTCGTTATCAGCGATCAATCTTGAACCAGAGAGATCATTCCTTTTTTTCGATATACGAAATATGGGATTTCACTAAGTTAGTTCTTAGTAAATCTTGAATCAAACCATTTGTACTTACTTCAACAAAAGAATGCAGGTCTCTTCAATAGAAGAAATTTTTTTTGTCTCGATCCCAATCTCATTGTAAATAACATACCAATGGAGGAAAAATATTTGGAAAGGAAATAACGCCTCCCACTTGTCCTTGCACTCGTTTTCTCTCTCACTTGATAGCATTCAAACTTCATCAGTGCTTAGAATTGACGACTACTTGTCTTAATTGGTCTTCAATGAATTTATTGCATAGTGCGGAATATACAAGAGAAGCCAACACATTCTCTCTCCATTTACTTATTGTTGCATAGATTAAGAAGTCTCATCACAATAATGACCACTATAATGCTTGTGATTACAGTGAGATCTGTATTGATTAAATACAATTTCAACCATTTATATTTAAAATTTTAAACTAATAATTTTTAAATAAATTTTTTTAAACAAGGACCATTAAAAGATTAAATGAATTTTTGTGTTTAATTTATTAAATTTCTTTTAAATTATGTTTTTCAATTTCACCTGTACTAAATGAAATTACAAAAGAAATCTCAATAATAAGTGACGAGCACGAATGAATATGTTAGCATTTTTTATTCTAGAACTATCATTACATATTCTTTAGTTGTTAATAAACTTTAAAATAATTAATTTTTTTCTTTAAGACCGGTATTCCTTATTTCTATTCAACATATGAATAGTTCTGTGACTTTGTCTAAGGGATTGTTGAATCTTTGCCTTGGAATAAATAGAATAAAATAGATTGATATTAGTGCGATCTGACTCGTTATCAGCGATCAATCTTGAACCGGAGAGATCATTCCTTTTTCTGATATACGAAATATGAGATTTCACTAAGAATTCCTTTTTCTGATATACGAAATATGAGATTTCACTAAGTCAGTTCTTAGAAAATCTCGAATCAAAGTGTTTGCACTTACTTCAACAAAAGAATGGCGGGTCTCTTCAATAGAAGAAATTTTTTTGTCTTGATCCCAATCTCATTGTAAATGACATACCAATGGAGAAAAAAATTTGGAAAGGAAATAAGGCCTCCCACTTGTCTTTGCACTCATTTCTCTTACACTTGATGGCATTCAAACTTCATCAGTGCTTAGAATTGACGACTACATGCCTCAATTGGTCTGCAATGAACTTATTGCATAATACGAAATATACAAGAGAAGCAAATGACATTCTCTCTCCATTTACGTCACTCATTGTTGCATAGTTTAAGAAGTCCCACCGCAATAAATGACCACCAGAAAATGAATGATTACAATGAGCTTTGCATTGGTTAAGTACAAGTTCAACCATTTATGTTTAAAATTTTAAACTAATAATTTTTAAATGAATTTTTGTAGTTAATTCATTAAATTTTCTTAATTTATTTTTTTTTTTGGGCAATTTCACTTGTACTAATTGAAATTATAAATGAGATAGAAAAATATAAGTATTCACATTTAATCATTGATTTTAAACATAAAATTAACAAATAAGTATTAATTACTCCCTCCGGTTCAAATTATACTTATTGCAACACCTAACTTTTTATATACCAGTAGGGTCCACTTAACATCTGTGGATCACTAGACGCCAGTGTTCTATTATAGAAAATGACAAATTTTTATATATATATAAATACTGACGAGTGATTTACACACTTGAACCCTACTTCTGTAGCACGTATGACAGGCACACAGATTTAAAATAATACTACTATTATATAAGTTACTACCCTGGTCATTCAGGACAATGACCCTTACCTGAGCACTGAAAGTACACACTCCCTTAAAGAAGGATACAAAATAGCATAATTACTAGTAAGTGGGGGTTACTTGCTCTTAAACATCTAATAAG